TTTTTTTTTTTTTTTTTTTTTTTTTTTTTGGTGTATGTTTTCGGATGAACTGCGTAAAGCGTGAAATGATTTAGGGCCTCGCCACAGCACGGTCTAAACGAAAAAAAGAACCAATGCATCTTCTGCAGAAAGTGGTAAGATGCATCCCTTGATATTCTCAGTAACGGATGCATCTTGCCCTTCTCTGCGGGAAGATGCGTTCGTTCTTTTTTCGTTTCCATTGTGCTATGACGAGGCCCTTCATGTCCTTCGGGATATCCGTTAAAATTGGGACGACACACTCATATGTCTGTAATCCAGCCTCTACAACAACCTGGGGCACGGTTCCACTAGCACACGAGTCATGGCCAAGTGCGACGCCTGCGACACTCCAGAAAAACGAAGAAAACTCCAGAAAAACGCAGAAAAGAGAAAAAAGAAAATTAAAGTGGTGACTTTTCAAGTCCCAAGGTGGAGACGAGCCCGACCTTTGGAAGTGCTGCAAAAGGCTGTGCCATCTTCTTGAAAGGTAGAATGGACAGTGGATGAATGTATCCCTCGCAGAACGTTGCCAGATTCATTTCTTCCATCTTTCTTTATTGCCTGAGGGTGCACCTATGAAAAATGCTACGTGACGATTGCAGTCCGAGTCTCACGTACCACAGAGAGGGAGTGGAGTCCCTTAGTGTGCCCGACGGGACTGCCTCCTGTGACGGTACCCATGTTCAAGTGTGAAGTCCTTATATTTTGAGAAAGAATAAAGTACTCGAGGGGCTTTCTATTGACCGGAAAAGAAAAGCACGGTCAATACGAACGACTTAGAGTACTTGATTTTTTTTTTTTTGTTTTCGACAACCACCAATCAAAAACAGACTTGGTATTTCTTTTCCCCACATCCTGTTATTCACCAAAAAAAAAAAAACAAGAAAAAGTAAATTAAAACACAAATTTTAAATATACAAACACCTTTATTTTGCTACCCTCGGATTTCGATGCAGCAACGGCTGGTGGATGTCCCCCGGACGTCCCACAGGTGTCGCCGTGTGACAATATACCGTTCTCGGTTGCTAGTGGAACCGTGCCCCTGGGCTTTACAAAAAAAATAAAAAAAAAATAAAAAAAATTTGGAACGATACAGAGAAAGAGAAGATTACCATGGCCCCTGCGCAAGGACGACCCGCATAAATCGAGAAATGTGGAATGCTTTAATCCATTTCCAATTAAAAAATATTTAAATAAACAAATAAATTCCCAAGGAAAGAAGGAAAAAGGAAGTCGTAACTACAGTCTTCCCCCGAATACAACGTACGGTCATTATAGCTGTATTTGAGCCATCTTTCAGTCTAGATACAGCGCTGATGCACGTGGAAAGTACGAATGACCGTACGTTGTTTTCGGGGGAAGAAAGTAGTTCGTTTCTCGTTATTCACCGATAAAATCCACTTGGACCAATTTTCTTTTCAGATCCACCGCGCTGATGCACGTGGAAAGATGAAATCTATGCGCATCTGGATGTATATGACCGTGGTTGCGATCAGATTCAGGCAATCCACGTGGAATTTGATTGTATGAGTGATTCAATGCACTCGTAGGAAGCGCGAGCGCTTGAAAAATTCGCATCGGCGTATCAGGCAGGGCATACTCACTCTCGGGCCTTTCGAGGATGTATCTGACCGTATTTACACCAGCACGTGGATGTATGTGACCTTAATTACGGCCAGAGCTCAGTGAAAGAAAAAAAGCCGTGCGAGTATGCCCTCAAACGTCATGATCTGAAGGAATGCCTCGAGTGAATTCCACTTGCCGGGTGAAATTTCGTAAGGTTGATGTACAGAACGACCGTGCTCTGGAAATTCCGGGTGTCCAGACGGTGGTGAAGGTATATAGTGGATGGAATTATTAGAATCATAGAAAGCATCTATGAAATAGAATTCTTGCGTGCACTTCTCAACGATGCACATAAAGAGTGTGTGTGCGCGCGAGAGAGAGAGAGATTGAGAGAGAGAGAGAGAGAGAGAGAGAGAGAGAGAGAGAGAGAGAGAGAGAGAGAGAGAGAGAGAGAGAGAGAGAGAGAGAAAGATCTGTCTTTCCGCATAACTTTGTTTCCCGTAGGCATTGGCATCTGAGTACTTTCAAGTTGGACGGTCTCAATGGACAGCTTTGTTGTTCTAGAAGCTCACGACTTTTTTGTGCCAGAAGGACAAGCCAGCGCGATGGGATTCCAGGCTGCAGGATCATGTACATAGATGTTTCGGGAGATAATTTGGGAGTAGGAATTACAGTGTGCATATGG